AATCGGTAACCAATAACTCTTCATATTTGTAAAATGATAACCGATATATAAGCAGATAAATACAAAACCTGATTAGAACAATATATTTATTATTATAATGTTTATGAAGATGCACAATGCTATTTTTCAGTTGCATCTAAATTAGGGATGAACCGATAGAGAAATTGTGTCCATTACAATAACCGATAAACTCCATAACCCTAAGCTGATAACCTAGTACTGGCCTAATAAGCACAAATCTGAGTTTAAACAATTCTGATCTCTATTATAAAAACACATAAGATAATATGTAATTAAAGTGTATTTGCATATAATAACTAAAAAATAACCAATATAAAGGCAGATAAATACAAATCCTGATTACTATTATTATGTTTTAAAAGGTGCACCATTTTACACGAATACACTATGAATTATGAATGGCTGCACTTGTTTTCATTTACACATACATAACAGATGCTCTGTTGTGGTAAAAAGAGGGATTTTGGATCCTACGATCCTGATGCCCTAGGTGAGATAATACATGACCTGACAATACCCCAGAAATAAAGCATATTAAATAACAATCTATTTCTAAAAGGAAAAAAACAGCTTAAACAGGGCTCCCAGCCTGACCAGATTGACCTATTGACTGGTTTTCAGTTGGTTTCCATGAGCTTGGCAAACTTGGTGTCCAGATTAAACACTTATGATGACTTTCACAACATGCAGTTCACTAAAAATAATAATTAAAAACATATATAAGCATAAATATGTTTTTAAAAATATTAAAGTTGGTGATTCATTTCTTTGTGGTGACCCCTGACAACTAAACTAAAAGAAACTGAATGATTGTGTGATGTCATTAAAGGTGCACCATGGGGAAATAAAAAATTTCATCCGATAATCGGTAACCGATAACTCTTCATATTTGTAAAATGATAACCGACATATAAGCAAATAAATACAAAACCTGATTAGAATTATATATGTATTATTATACTATATATAAAGGTGCACCATGCAATATTTCAGTTGCATCTGAATTAGGGATGAACCGATATGGAAAATATGTTCAATACAATAACCGATAAACCGATAAACTCAATAACTAAGCCAATAACCCATTTTTGGCCCAATAAATGCAAATCTTAATTTAAATTATTCTAATCTTTATTATAAAAACACAAAAGATAACATGTAATTAAAGTGTATTTGCGTCTAGTTTTTATTTTTACCTGAATCCACTATGAACTACAACCATGTACAACCATAATCGGTAACCGATAACTATTAATATTTGTAAAGTGATAACCAATATATAGGCAGATAAAAACAAATCCGGATTAGAATTTATTTATTATTATGTTTTTAAAGGTGAACCATGCTATGTGTCATTTACATCTAAATTTGGGATGAACAGATATGGACATTGTGTCAGTTACAATAACCGATAAACTCAAACTCTAAGCCGATAACTAATTTTAATCCCATCATTATAATAAAAACACAAAAGATAAAGTATTTAATTAGTGTGTATTTGCGTCTAGTCTTTACTGTAACGTGAATGCACCATGAACAATAACCACCTGTCTTCATTTACACAGACGTGACAGATGCTCTACTGGAATTAAAGTGGGATTTTGGACCCGGAGATCTGAGGGCGATCCTGTTGCCTTAAACAAGATAAGACATGACCTGTGACCTATTAATACCACCCCCCACCCCGAAAAAACATGGAAGCTAATTTCACATATGAAGAACAGCTTATATTAGTTTCCCAGCCTGATCAGATTGGCCATCAGATTGCCTGTTGACTGATTTTCAATGGGTTTCCAGTAGCTTGGTGAAGTTGAGTTTCTAGATTATCATGGATTAAAGGGATAGTTCACTCAAAAAATGAAAATTCACCCATCATTTTCACAATCAAATTGTTCTAAACTTTCTTCTGTTGAACATGAAACAAGAAAATCTGAGGAATTGTGGAGAAAAATCAGCCACTGACATCCAGAGCAGGAGCAAAAAGTACTATGGAAGTGAATAGCTGTCATTTTTGGGTAAACAAATTTTTAAGCCATCTCTTAAAATTAGCAAAAAAATAAAAATAAATAATAAAAATCACCAAATATAAACACAGATATATATTTTATAATATTTTGTAAATGTGCACCATGCAATTGTTTACACATTTTAGTTAGATCTGAATGAGAATAATTTTGTCTATTACTGATAACCGATAACTTTTTATAAGGGCCAATAAATGCAAATCGGAATCCGAATTATTCTAATATTGATTAGGAAAACACAGAAGATCACACCAGCGAATACAGTGAGATATATATATAGGCATATATTAAGGCATAAAAAGCAAAACTACCCAACTATTAGTATCGGTTATATAAATGAATAATCGGTTTTATTCCTAGTGAGAATTTTTGTATAATTACATGAAATATATTTGTTTTGATGGCATGCTCATGCAAATTATATTATTTTTCAGCACTGAAACGATTAAGGTACCGAATAATCGGTTATCGGTTATCATTTCAGGTAAGAATTCAGTATTATCACAATAAATATATTTGCTTTCAGTTCATGCTCACATAAATCAGATTATTTATAAGTACTTATAAGTACTTATAAGACTATATAACTGAACAAACAGTTATCGCTTTAGGTAAGAAATTCAGTATAATTACATTATATTTGTTTTCATGGCTTGTTCATGTAAATCCTACTATTTTTCATTCTAGATAATATTACATGAATAATCGGTTATCGGTTATCATTCCAGGTAAGAAATTTAGCATAATTACATTAAAAACATTTGTTTTCATGGCTTGTTCATGTAAATCATATTATTTTTCAGTACTGAATTATATAACTTAATAATTGGTTATCGGTTATCATTCCAGGTGAGAAATACTATACAATTACATTAAATATATTTGTTTTCATGCCATGTTCAAGTAAATCCTATTATTTTCCAGTACTAAAAGGATTACGCAATTAAATAATCAGTTATCATTCCTGATGAAAAATTCAGTATAATTACATTAAGTGAAGTTTCATAAACTAATTTCAAGAGGAGCACGTGATTTGATTGAGCACAACTGGCTGCTCATCTGTAATCAGTAATAATCCAATCAGAGTGATCCAAGCTTACAATAAATAGATTGTTTTCTCCCTTCTGCTCTATCTTTATTTTCGAAGAATCCCACCCTCCACCCCATCTCCTCCTTTTCCTCTCTTTTCTAAGGGGGAGCTCTCGAGACCTACCTGATCTCAGATCCCCTTATTTGCTTACTGACCGGGCGGGAGCCTCAAGTATATCCAAGCTCAGCAATCTCTCCCAGGACAGCATGCTAAACCTGCTGTAAACGCTAAGCACATCTAAGTGGGAACACTTGAAATATATTTGTTTTCAAGGCTAACTTACGTAAATCATATTATTTTTCAGTTTTCGGTAGGACCAGACAGAATCTGCAGACATTTTGTGCTATTTCTGTGCAGAATTTTGTAAGAAATCTGCAGATTTATGAGCAATGATTTTGGGAGTATCTTAACTGAAAACCAAATAAAATTAAATAAAAATATTACCATTCATTACTTTTATTTCATGTTTAAAATGCACATATCCACATATTTTGTAAACAAAGCAAGTCTCACATATAATATATATCTACTAAAAGATAGAAAATATTATTTTACAAGCTGTATTTTAAATAATTAATAAATTTTTTATTTAATAATATTTTATTAATAAATACATTTTTAAATAATTAAAAAAATTAAAAACTGAATAAATGTCCATACACACATTTACACAACTAAACAATTAGACTCAATGATAAGCTAAAAAATCTGCAGATTTCTGTGCACACTAGTGATCCGCGGGCGCTGCAGATAATCCGCGGGTCGGGCAGGTTGGGTGATAAAAAATACATTATGATTAATTGCGGGTGGGTTGCAGGTGGATGTAGTGGGACATGGCAGTGGACCAGCAAAATAGCAGAGAGTGGAATTTGCAGAATGGGAAGATGAGACACTCAAAATAATGGATGCAAGAGTAAGTAAGTGCAAGAGAACTGTTCAAACTTTTAGTTAGAGGAGTCATCAGAGGAAAATCTGCTATCGTTCTGGGAGAAACAAGACCGCTTATTTACATGACTGCAATGCCTTGCGAGGAGAATCTTGTTTATTCATACAACAGGCGGTGCGACACTCATTCAGTGCAGCTGGCCGAATTTTGGAGGCGAGGCGGAATCGCCCGAATTTAGGCACAATAAATGCTATTCTGTTTTTGCACAGTGCAAAGAAAAAGCCCAAGTAAACACAACATAGCTGCCGTTTAGGCTGAAGTGGCACCTTTTTGTTATATTTTACCTGTATCTTTAAAAGCTCAAATGTATTATTTTTACTTTTCGTATTTGAAAATGTTGTCCAATGACAAACTTTTGTTTTTATAAATAAATATTAACTTAAAAACGTTTACGATTAAAGTATTATTTTACTATCAGAGATCCGCAGATTAGAGATTAAAGAATTAGAATTATTAAAGTGACGATCGGGTGCGGGCACATTTATCAGATCAAAGTATATGTGCGGGTGGTCGGTGGATGATTAGTATAAAGCCGCGGATTCAAGTGTCATTTCAGCTGATCCGTGCATCTCTAGTGCACCTAGATCCCGTCTATTTATCGGTTATCGTTCCAGGTAAGAAATTTAATTACAATAAATACATTTGTTTTCATGGCTTGTTCATGTAAATCATATTATTCTTCAATAATGAAAAGATCATATAAATTAATAATTGGTAATAAGTTTTCAGTTATCATGTGACAAGTTTAATATAATTACATTAAATATTTCAGTTTTATGGCATGTTCCCTTAAGTCATACTGTTATTCTTCAGTACTGATGTTTTTTTTTTTCAAAATGCCCCTAACACTTTTGTTGTCTTTAAAGTGTGTTATAAATAATCATGATATAATAAGTATTACTCATTAAGTATTACTCACCGCATCTGTCTTGCATAGTTGAGCTCGATCTCAGACCTTTCCTTCACAAATTTGGTGTATTTTTCCACAAAGTCGATTCCCCACTGTGTGTGCTTTTCCAGGTTATCAAACTGATCCTGTGAGAGAGAGAGGGAAATATGTTATAATATAAGTGAAGACTGATGTTTTGCCACCCTAACTCAACTGTTGAAATAAAAAAATGCCCCCCACCAAAAAATGCCCATGACAAATGTTTGACGACAGCAGCGAAGGTCAAAAGCAAATCTGTCATTGGTCTGTAGTCAACAGGAAGAGCCCACCCATACACTGACATGAGCTTCTAAGTCAAAAATATTGAAGCTTTCTCTAGTTTTCAGTATGTCCTAATGTGATGTTATTATAGTCTCCAGAATGTGTCTGTAAAGTTTCAGCTCAAACACCCATCAGATTGTTGATTATACCTTTCAAAATATTAAAATGCTCTGCTGTGAACACAATGTACCTGTTTTTTGTGCCCTGTGCCTTTATTGCTAGTTCTCCCCGCCCACTGTTCCCACGTGCCTGAGAATGTGTGCCTCAATCTCCGGCTGAGTCAGATAAACAGCACAGTGACAGACGTGAAGGAAGCAGATCTCACGTAATGCTTGTGAGAAATACTACAGTAAGAACTTTCCCAATGATTATTTGATGTATTTGTTGTGGAGCTAATTCAATCCTTTCTGCAACGATGAGTCAAACACAATTTACGCACACGTGTTTAACTTTGCACTGTTTTTGCATGCAAATGTGACAGGATACACATTAGTATCCACTGCTGTATGGATATCTGTTATGTTAATGTACAAAATAAACCTGATTTAACACCCAAAATCAGGTATTGAATTGTCTTCATTTATCATTTTACTGACACATGGCTGTGGTGATGAATTACATCGATTTTAGTCTTTATTACAAACATGCACTTAAAAAACGTTTTAAACTTGTAAAGCTCGTTCTTGATCACATTAGATGATATTGATGATCACAGAGAGATCAACAGATCTTTTAATCCCAGTTGTTTTGCGCACGTCCTGTCTTGTTGATATGATTATACGCATTACTACGGAAACATGTTAAAAAGCGTCTGTCAATCAATTCGGTGGGCGGGGAAACCACACTCCTACGTTGATGTCGGCCTCAAAATGGGAGGGATTTGGATCCTATTTTAACATCAGGAAATTTAAAAAATATATACTTATTATGTTTTTATTACTCCAATATGATTGTGGACTTGTGTTGTAGGTACATAGTTTTCAAAAAAACTTACAAAAGATGATTTTAATCATACAGTAGGTCCCATTTAAAGCAGTTCAAACCGTGTGAGGTCTAAGAATCAACGTTGGTTTTAAAATCTAAATGTAAGTCAAAATGTAAACAGACCTTCCCACATTGGGTTCTGTTCAAGAAACATGAGAAAAACGTATTTATTTTCTTTTTAGTTTTCTTTTTATGTACTTATATTTTAAATATTTATGCAGCTGACAGATTGTGTGTCAGTTTACATCGACTGGATTTTGCATTAGTGTAAATAAAACCAAATGCATGGTTTTGGATCATAAATGATGCTATTTTTTTTACACAAAACACAAGAAACCAGATTTGTAGACTGATATTTGGAAGTGAATACGTCATTTAGAAGTGAATAAGGGTGTTATTATGTTTCCAGGATAAGCAAATACTATTAAAAACATGTTTGTGATCCAACCACTCACATATCTTATAATCTCTAGTTATCTAGAGATCATAGCATACAGGTATGGTGTGTATGTGTGTATATAGAGTGTTCATGTTCCTTGCTGATTTCCGCTAAAACCTCTGTACGCGCACAGACCACAAAAAAATAGTCCTACATTCAGATGCAGTCCATTTTTACACCTCATCTATCATTAATCACACATCTGAGCATCTGAGATATGGTAGTCTTAATTTAGAAGCCTGGTGCATGCTGGGTTAAACAGGACAATGTTTATATGGTAATTCACCTCCACAAAAACAAATCAAAATCAATATTTCTAATGAACTAATCCCTATATAATCACATAAATACTACTCACTTATATTTACTTAAGTAAAATATTAAATCCCCTCTGATTTTTTTCCTTATAAAATTTTCTAAATGATGTTTAATAGAGTAAAGAAATTTTCACAGTATGTCTGATCATACTTTTCCTTCTGGAGAAAGTCTTATTTGTTTTATTTCAGCTACAATAAAAGCAGTTTTTAATAAAAAAAATAAAAAATAAAAATTTTAAGCTCAAAATTATTAGCCCCTTTAAGCTACATATTTTTTCAATAGTCTACAGAACAAACCATCATTATACAATAACTTGCCTAATCACCCTAACCTGCCTAGTTAACCAAATTAATCTAGTTAAGCCTTTAAATGTCACTTTAAGCTGTATAGAAGTGTCTTGAAAATATCTAGTCAAATATTATTTACTGTCATCATGGCAAAGATAAAATAAATCAGTTATTAAAAATGAGTTAATAAAACTATTATGATTAGAAATGTGCTCTTGTCCCAGTCCCAGTTAAATCTTGTCCCAGTTAAACGGGAAATTGGGGAAAAACATTTAACAGGGGGGCTAATAATTCAGTGGGTTTAATAATTCTGACTTCAACTGTAACCTTGATCAAACAGACTTGTCTGTAACTATTAAGTGCTTATTCAGATCTGGCTGGGTTTGGTTTGTTTTGGTTTAGTTTCTAGTTTAGTTGAGTTCAGTTCAGTTCAGTTCAGTTTGACCTTTGATTAGGGTTGAAGCTAAAATCCGCAAGGAGGTAGATCTCCAGGAACATGAATGGACACCCCTGACTTAAAGCATAAGCAAACAAACAACTAATAAAACACCATCACTTTCAAATAAAGCAGGAATTTCTTGCTGGGACAAATATTGTGATCAATCTTGTACAAAAACACAAGCTTGTATTTAAATAATACATGTGCATGAACTGTGTGCGTATTTATTATGTTTATATAAATGCATGCACAATATGACAATGTAAATATGATTTGTACAATGTGATTTGTAAAACGTATACATATATATTGGAATACATTATACTGTATTAAATATATATAATCAATTTACACAGTACATAAAAATTACGATGTACGTACGATGTATCGTAATAAAAAAATTAAAATAAAAAAAATAAAAACAATTTATACAGTACACATTTAGTGGAGGTTTATAATTTAACAGCACTAATCTGAATTGAATGAAATATCATATTTACACAAGTAACTTAAAATACTATTAAATTAAATTTAAACAAACAATAAAAAGCCAACATTTTGATAAACAGGAGGAATATCTTGCTGGGAAAAATATTACAAGATTATTTAGATTTTAGGCCTCACAAACAATAATCATAAATGAATATCTGATTAACATGAAATCATATTTTACACAATAAACTAATGGCATTACTGTAACTCATATCATATGTCATTTGTTTTAAACAAAAAAAAAACAGCCAGTGAACTATTATACACTATAAACAACATCAAGAAGTTCTTGCAAAAGTCCAAGCAATGCAAATCACATCAATAAGGAAGATAAAGATTCCATTTAGAACCAAAACAACAAAAGCCAAACATTTATGTTCCGTAAAAGATTTACTTTGAAAAAAATGTAACAAATCAAACCCTAGAAAACAAAACTTGAAGAACCTACAATGAAAAAATAAACTAAAGAACCACACAAAGTCACACAGTCTATTCAAAACAATACACTACATTGATGAATATACTGTACACAACACATTCACATTTACATTCAACACCTAACTCCTAATATAATAACACTACAGTCACCTTCGTCTGACTCCAGCATCCCCCCATTTTCTCTTCGACCATCTCGAAGTCTGAAACATCCAGACGGATAATCCCTCACGCTCGCTCCTTTCATAGGAGCATTAAATGCACTTTAATGCTCGTGCATCCGTTAGATTAGATTTCAGTTTCTCCTCGTGAACGAACACACACACGCTGAGCATTCAGACAGGATGAGACCTCAAACCTGTGTGTGTGTGTGTGTTTATGTGAACAGGATGTACATGTGGGTGATGATCTAGGTTTCTGAACTCAATAATATGAATGTTAGTCTATAATTTTAAGGTACAGCATCAACAGAAATGAAGTATAGCCATTTAGAGAAATGCTTCAGAAATATTTGAAGATCCAGTTAAAAACAATCCAAAACATATTTGGTTACACTTTATTTTAAGGTCCAATTCTCACTGTTAAGAAACCAATAACTGACTTTTAGCTCAGCTTTATAAACTACTATTGTGCTGCTTGTTAATAGTTATTAAGGTAGTAGTTGGGTTTAGGTTTTGGACTGGGTTTTGAATGTAGAATTAGATCATGCAGAATATGTGCTTTATATGTACTAATAAATATCCATATCTTAATAATATATGCAAGTAACAAGTTACTAGTTAATTAATTGGTACTTGAATTTGTTTTTTGGTGGTAATTATACTTCAATAACTGGATGAAAATCTGCTCACACTTTACAAAAACGCTCTATTGGTTAATGCAAATGTATTTATTAGCATGAACTAAGAATGAACAATCAATTAATTATTCATAGTTTAACTATTAGCATTATTAAAATCCAAAGTTGTGCTTGTTATTAGTTTGTGCGCTGCATATGGTGTATATGGTGATTCTTCACCATAAAGCAGTTCACCATTCTCGTAGATTTTTGTTGTGTAATTTGTCATGCTTTTTTTTGTGTTGATCAGCACATTGTGTTCTGCGTCCTAATTGGCTGTAGACCATTGTCAATCAATCTCCTCCGTTCCTGTACAGTACAGAATGCGTTCAGCTTGCCAAATCAACATGAATCTTCGATCGCTAGCAGTGTGACTCTAAAGTGCTGTATTTGTATGTCTGCAAGTTTTCTCCCCAACAAACCCCACAATGTTGACAACGTTCTGCACTGTCAAAATCACCTGCGGTAGCACTCAAGAGGCAGAGAAAGATGCTAACCTTCGCACAAAAAGTTGGACTTCTGGATATGCTAAAGGGCACGAGTGTTTAAACGAGAGAAAAGTGTGAAAATGTTAATGCCTGTCTGAGAAGTGT